GCCGCCCCGCTGCCCCCGCGTCTGGCACTCGGCGGCCATAGAATCGCAGAATCGTCCTTTAGGTTGGAAAAGCCCTTTACGATCAGCCAGTCCGGCCATCAACCTAACACTACCGAGTCCACCCCTAAACCAATTAAGGGGAGAGGAACAATTTCATGTTCCCTGGCTTGGTGGCTGGATTATTTTTTAATGAAAGGAAAACTAGGAATCACTAAGGTTGGAAAGGACCTCTAAGATCATCAGTCCAACCATCAACCCACCACCACCATGCCCACTAAACCGTGTCCCCAGGTGCCACATCTACCCGTGTTTTGAACACAAGCATCACGCTCCGGGCTCCAGCTCTGCAAAAGGGGGTTTGGGCATCATCCCATCCAGCTGAGCTCCCAGAGCCTGTGAGCAATGCAGGAGGTTCTTATTTCCACCACTGTCAATCAGTATAAGTTAGCCTGTGTGGAAATGATACCCTGCTGCTTTCTGATCCCAAGTGTCATTTGCTGGGCTGTGGAAAGTGCTGAAGAGCAGCACAAATTAAATTACCAGAACCCAAACCCGCAGTCAGTGCTCTGAAGAGATGCAACTATATCCAGACCTTAAGCTCCTCTGAAGTACGTGGGTCTCTCCAGAAAGTGTCCGGTATATGTACACTTCAGTAGGGCATTTGTGTCTTTAAAGAGGGATTAAAGAAAACTGCCACCTATATACGTGAACTCGTAGTTTGACTATTCTCTTTTGTTCTAATTTTCTAGGAGCTTTTTGTTCAGTATTTGGCTACATACTCCTACAAACATGGCAGAGGCAAGGAGAAGAACGCTCTAACTTACAGCGACCTGTCGCATACTGCAGAGGAGTGTGAGACCTTTCAGTTCCTTGCAGGTACCTGTAGCATGATGGTAAATCCAGTATGTAATTTGGAAAATCAAATCTTGCTCTTATTGAATTGTTTTGTGAGGACACAGTTCTCCTACTGGTTATTAATCTCCTGTATAACATTCAACTGGAACTCATAAACTACATCGCTGAAAACATTTCTTTGTGAATGGGGATTTTTCTGGCGCTTCAAAATTATACAAGGCTAATTAGTTCTCAGAGTATTGCCTTAAGCATTTCTTAAATTCCAGCAACTCCATCTGAAAGCTTGCAGCCTGTAAAACAAGATCACTGCACATCTTTATGTGAGAAGTTATGTGGCCCCAAAATTACACATTTAAATCTGTAAGTCTTGTTTCTCAAAGTGATTCATCATATGGTTCCTCTCGCTTTTTATGTATATGTATATGTACACACACGGGTGCATGCGCACACACTTTTTACTGATACTTGGATTTTTGTCGTAACGCTTAGCTATGGGATACAGCTGGAGAATAAGATATTCCTAGCCCAGTCTTTCTCTGGGTTCCCCGTGGATGTACTTCCAGAGCACGCAGTTCTGCTTTGTCTCAGGTCCATCATTACTGCCCTGAACAAGCGTCTTGCCTTAATGCAGAAAAAAACCTTTCTACAGGACATAAACAGGATAGCTGTCTTGTTGCATCTGTTCTTAGCAAAGCCTCTTTTCGACTTCGTTTCAGTAGTGGTACAGATGCAACAGTATTGATGAGACAATATAAGTATTCAAACTGACTATAAAAGAAACAATTCTGCCTTCCAGATATCTTGCCAAAGAAGATCCTAGCTAGCAAATACCTAAAGATGCTTGAAAAAGAGAAGCGAGATGGAGAAGTGGGGGAGGATGAAGAGGAGGATGAGGAGGAAGAGGATGAAGACGAAACTGTTGATGAAGATGTTGGATCTTAAGACCAACGAAGAATTGCTTTAGTTGATCCATTTTCTGTTGTATAAAGGATGTTATTTTTGTGACTGAGAATCCAGATGCTGGATATATTTATATACTGAGCCATCTGCTTTTGCTTTGTTTAAGAAGTTTAGAAATTGAACTTTATACTTGTTGAAGAATGGAATTCTTCCCTCAGAAACATGGCGGGGTAAGAGCTAATGTAAATCTGACAGCAGACCTTGCTCAGATGATTTAAAATGACTTCTTCAGACAATCGTTATCCAAATTTAACATTTCTTACGGGCAGCTTTCAGTCCAAAAGCTCTTTCACCCTCTGACTCGAGGGGAGTCCTTCCCCAGTTTGTGTTTCTTCTCAGAGTGGCAGATGAGGTGAGGGGAGGTGTTTTACACAGTGTCTGCTGTCCTCGGCCTTCTCCTCCCTGGGGAGCCAGGAACTGACCAAACCCTCCCTCAGTTTTCCGGAACAGTGCCAGGGCATTAGCAGTGGACCAAGCCCATTAAAAAATCTTCTGTAAAAACAGCTGCTTCTGTAGCGCAGCCTGAGCAGCCATGTCGGCACAGACACAGGGTAGAGGATGAGATCCATTCCAAGAGCTAATGTGGTTCTGCGGCTGTGGTGGTAAAAAGTACACGTGTTAGATAACGATGTAAATACGTACATCTAGAACCTTTTTCCTCTAATGAACTCTGTTTCTGCAGTTTGTCCATGGTGTTCTACCAAAACGCACACTGAAGTCTATTAAATGTGGATTGTTGAGAATGAGCAACATTTTTACCATTTGAGTGACGGAGCTGGATTTTTCGTTTTGTTTTGTTTTGTTTTTTACTATAGAAATGGTAACCTTCCTGTGTAGAACTTTATATGCAACTTTTTAAAATAAATGTTTTGTACGAAAAGTGACAATTGATGCAGAGACTTTAGTTCTTGCCAGCTTCAGTCACGTACAAACCTAGCATGCTCACTGTTTCATCCTTCCAGGAAGAAAGTGGGGACAAAAGGCTCAGTGATGCTCTGAATAGTCTTATCGGCAATACTAGCTAGAGCTGCTCTGCGTTGGGAGTCTTGGCTGTGAGAGCAGCAGTCTCTGCTGATACACAACTAACGTTTGCATGGTGCCATGGTCAGTCAGAGCGCAAGAGAAGTGCCCAAGATCTCTCCCCAGATGTGAGGAATGCCCCAAGTAAGCATGGGAACATTACTAAGGAACAAAACTTCCCACTCCAAAAAGTGCCCTAAAGCAGTCAGGAAGGGGGGGAGGTCTCAAGCAACACCCTCGTTTGGATGGCATGGTTAAGAGTTGCCAGGAAACTCTCTGCCCTGTCAGGATAATAGTAACAGTTTCTCGTAGGTGGAAGGCACAAATGCACTGAACTGCTCTTAAAACAGGAGGCAGAAAGCTCTAGCAACTCCGTAACCTGGCACACTCCAGATTTGTTCTAAGAAAACAAAAATGGGGGTTAGGCAGGTGAGAGCAGAGACTGGCAGAGGAGGAAAGCTACTGAGCCACACAAGAAATGTTCTTATTTTAAGAGATCAAAGTACGTTGTACTGTAAAAAATTTTCCCAAAGTTACCACAAATCAAAATCTCATTGTATCAGGAATGCTGCAGTGAGTGCTAAGCGACTCTTTATCCCTAGAGAACTTCCCAAGTGGGTATGCAGAGCTCTACTGTTGTTGAAAGGGTTGTTTTGGGGTTTTTTTAAAATATTATTATTAAAAATGCATGGAGATCTGTGGGAAACTGAGGGCTGCGTGCTCTCTGGTTTGGGGGGGGCGGGGGGGTGCCTGCAGTAGGATACGTAAATTGTGTGGCTACCTGTAGCACAAAACTGCATGGTAATTCTGTAGTGTAAACAGGGTAGAGGGCTACAAACAAACGATCAGGGGCCCTGGTACTATGGCTAAGGCCAAACAATAGCTGGCCCACAGTTATGTTACGTGGGCCACAACCCAAGAACGCAACACCCACAAAAGGTCCTTATGCTGGGCGCGTCTATTTTGAGGTAAAGACATCAGGGCTGGCAGGTTTTAGGGCACACACGTTTATAGCAATTATGGTTCTGCTTAGTTTTAGACCTGACATTTTCTATCACCAGTTCTGTTTGTGTAGGCAACCCAATTGTCCATTATGCAGAACCCTCTGAAAAGAGGAGGTTTTTTGATTTTTTTTTTGTTTTGTGTTTTTTTTTTAAAGCCAGCCCTGGAGCCAGGTATAGGTTATGAGGGACAATATTGGTGGAAGATGCCAAAATAAGACACCAGCCCCAACTAAGTCCCTCCCACCATTCATAATCTGCGTGGCGTGATCATTCCTGGGTTTTTGGCACTTTGGTTCAGCTGCCACTCAGCTTGTCAATGGATTACCACTGACATTTGGTAGCTAACACAGAAACTTGGCTTTTAGACACCCGAAAACAAAAATAAGGGGCAGGAGGGAAAATTCCCAACACATTAATCAGTCCCAGCTCTACAGGCTAGTGCAGCACGAGCCTGGGAAGGCGCGTGTCTCGGCGTGCTCCACTGTGTCCAGGACAAAAACTGACACCATGGTCCAGTACACACAAAAAACATGATCCAGTGCACGCATGCCTGTGCTGACACAGCTGGGAGCACGGGTATTCTGGGCCTGAAGACAAAATATTTTTCCTTGGATGCAATTGATCATGGCCAGTCGTGTGAGGGTCAACTGAAGGGGGGAATTCTGCTGCTGTGGTAGAAGGCCAATGCAGTGCTGGGCTATATTCTCCCCGTGCCTGGGCCATGTTGAGAGCTGGCAGAGGTGTCCCCGGTCACCAGCAGCCGCCATGTTGTCCCAGCCTCGCTCACAGCAGAGGGGAACGCGTCCTTCTTGTCTTGGCCCTATCGCCCACGCAGCGGCTGCGCAGGGAGAGACCTGCTACGAACCACGTCCTCGTGTTGGCCGCGGCAGCCGCCTTCTCCCCGTAGCCAGGCTGCAAAATGCTGCGGTGCGCCCCGGGGAGCGGGAGCCAGCACGGACGATGAGTTACGAGGTTCCTGCTCTACGCAACTGGCGTCTTTTAATGTCAGGCAAAAGACGCGATTAGGAGGGAATGCACGGGAAAGAAAAATCCAGCTGGAGGGTGGAGGAGCCAGGAAGGACGCCCACAAGGAAAAACCAGAAGGATGAATCACTCCTACGACTGTTTCTCCTCGCTGCACCCGGAC